TCAAGTGGCTCCATTGTTTTGGGACTCTAGCAAGGATAGCACATCATGGGAAGTATATGGTGGAGCAAACACGCTTACATCATAAGACAGGAAGCAAGAGAGCCAAGAAAGGACCAAGTGCCACAATCCCCTTTGAAGGCACACCCTCAATGACCTGAGGACCTCTCACTAGTCCCTACCTTCTAAAGATACATTGCAGCTCCAATATCCCCACCCTGGGGAGCAAGCCTCTATCTCAGGAACCTTTGGGGGACATTCATCTAAACCATAACACTGCCCTCTAGAGGATGCCACAGAATGGGAGCTGAGCCTGTTCTTTCTAGGAAGCTGAACAGAATCCCTATCACTTACCAATCCCAACCACTCCACAATTTAAAATGCTGCATTATTTCCTTGAAACTGAGATGGTCCTCAGTTGTATGATATAAAGAGGAAGAAAAAAAACATGGGCTTCCATTAAATTTTGATACCAACTCTCCTTTTAAAAGCATTTTTAAATTTTATAGTAATTGAAATTTCTTTTAGATATATATATTACCATCTATCATTCCTATACATGCATGAAAAGGAACTATGTGTAAAATAGACTGGTTATGGCATTCCTAAAACTTCTTCTCATTCAGAATTTGCCTCTATTAAAAGTAAAAAATTCAAAATTCAGATTTTTTATTGATGCACCAAGTCATTGATAGGACAGCTCCATCACATTCCTGTCTTACCAACAACAAACATCAGATGCCATTGACCAGAAGACACATTGTCATTTTAGACAAATAGAAAAAAGAAAAAAAAGTTCACTTAGAATCAGAGAAATATGACACTCTCTGAGATATTTTCATGGAGTCATGGATCAGCCAATGATCAAAAGCTTCCTTTAATTTACTATTTTTTTGGATAAGGAGAAAATATCATAAACTTCTCAATATTCTACATCCTGCAGATCAACTTCAGGACAAATATAATGGAACATATTAATTAGGCCAATAAGCTTTTATATAACAGGAAAGATTTTAGCTTACTGGCCTAATTATATTTATATTATTAAACTTGTATTTAAATTGATTATTTATTAATTTATATTTAGCTTACTGGCCTGTTATATGTTCAAGTGGCTGTTAATTGACTAATAGGTGTATTTTAGTTTCCCTAAAACAGAAAATATTTCCTCATAGGAAATCAGTGTTCACTGATGCAGAGGAACAGAAATAGCATCATGTAATAAAATGTGATCTTTCCTAGATTTGATCCAGTAGCCTAAGTCTGAGAGGAAAAGCTTTGCACAATCAGAATAGAATGTCCCTTAGATTTTGTTCACCTGGGCTTGTGGAAAGCATGGGTCCTTGCATGATGATTAACCCTCAAATGAACAACTGGAGATCTTTCTCCACGATCTTAGTAATTCTTTAGCTGCTAAAACATTCTGAAATCACATTTTGAGTGCTATTTCTTATTGTTCCTATTTTCCGTTTTCACTGCCAGCCAAACTCTGTTGTGACATGTTAACATTTATTGCTCCAAGAGGATGCCCGTTGGGATCCTCTTTACCTAGCAAACCCAATTACTAGTTTAAAAATCTAACTATAACTTTGTTCTCTCACCAGGAGGATTCAATCAGTACCCACCACCAATGCTGGAGGATGCCTGCAGGCTCATCAGATTGGAGGGGGATGGTCAAAACAGCGGTTTCCAGTGAGTTGGAAAGCTGTTATAGTTACAAGTGGCTGTTAATTGACTGATGGGTGAATTTCTGGCTGCTGGCAGGTTATTAGACTGAGGAAACCAGCAAGATCTCTGAAGTAAAGGCTCTTCATATATATACTCCCTTGTCGATAGCAGAAGTTACATATGGACCATGTTTTCTGGTTTGATGTTCTTATGAACTTTATTACAATCTTACCTTTGACACATTCGTGGTTTCCTCGGGAATTCCCGTACGGAAATTTACCCCAGAATAGAACCCATAATTTATTGTGAACTCATCCCAACCTCACTTCCTAGTTCTCCCCATCCTGAAGCTCTGGCTTCTGGCTGTATTCCCCTCTTTTTCTACCTGGTATGAACTAAGCATTTTCATGTCACTGGTCTCTGTTCAACTGCTGGGGACCCTGTTCCTTCCCGCGAAACCATACCCATCTTTCATGGCTCAGATTGAAGCTGTCTCCTCTTTGAAACTAATCTTTACTCCCAATCAAAATCCACAGGCCTCTTTTGTACCTTTTTATACTTCTTCCAAGGTACTTATGATGTTTTCCCCAATATCTAACCTTGTTAAAGCCTGGGGCTGCATATGATGTTTTGTTCCATCCCCAAAATATTGCATTAAAAACTTCACAACATAATTGCATGTGTAGATAATTTTACTTAACATTAGGTCCTAAATGAAAAATAAATAATTACTCTGTGTGATTTTTTTTTTGGTACCAGAAATTGAACCCAGGAATGCTTAACCACTGAGCCACATCCCCAATCTTTTTTTTTATATTTTATTTAGAGATAGAGTCTCACCGAGTTGCTTAGGCCCTTGCTAAGTTGCTGAGGCTGGCTTTGAACTCAGGATTCTCCTGCCTCAGCCTCCTAAGTAGGCCTGCGCCCCTGCATCTGGCAATCTGTGTGAATCTTGACTCTCAAATTGGGTGAGAGTGACCAATCTTGGTTGCTCTTTGCTTGTTAGGTACTTCTCTAAGTTTGAATCCCTGTGAGAAACCTTGTGGAAATCCAGGTCTAGGCCCATAATTACCATCTCCTCTTAGATTACAATTAAGCAAACAAGCTTCTCAGAAGTCCTCTTAGATACCTCTAGAAGCAAAATGGCAAGGATCCCCCACCATCTGTGCAAGCTCACATTCCTCTAACAGCCAACTTCATGTACTTGGTAGTTGAACAGGAAAGCATCCAGCAGCCAGCACTCTCTGAAGAACAGTATTGCCCTAATGTCATGTAAAAGCAGGGTTTTCCAAACCTGGGTAAATCATACATTCATTGAAAAGAAACCAATCCTCACAGGACTGCAGACAAAAATATTATGTTGTTTAAACGTGCAAACATAAATCTTGCAGTAAATACTATATGCTTAGTTCTTATGTAGCTATTAAGCCCAAACAAGTGTACACATCAAATCTCAAATCAGTAAGACAAAAATTTTCAACCCTAATTTTTATGTCATAGGTAAATCTGCTTTGCTAAAACTAACAGAAATAAAAAAAATTCAGTATATTTTTTATAAATATGTAAAATATGGTACATGCTGCTGTGGTGTGTCTATGATGGCTATCCTTACACAATGAATCCTTTTCTTATCACTTATGCTCACCTGCATTAACTGTAAAATTACCCACACAGTGTGTTGTGATGTCATTTGATTTTTGCTTGGTGTAAATGTATCATTCATATATGTCTGACTCCTTTTTTTTTCTTTCCTCATTAATCCCCCGTGGTTAAAGTACTACTTCTGGGTCCCAAATGCGAGTATCAAATATAAATGCAACATGGACATTGAAATTACATAAAATCACATGATCAAGAACAAAATGTTTTATTATATAAAAAGTTTTGTTTTATCATCTAAACAGAAACATTCTCAAATTATAATGGAGAACTCTTAAACCACCAAGAATATAAATGTCTTCACCATTTTAAGAGCCACTGATATCAACAAAATATCTTTAAATACTCTCACTCCTCTCAAAGAAGTGCTTGGTAAATTAAATAACTATTTTCTATGGTGATTGGTATCAATTGAGACATAAGAAGGTTGTTCCAGATATATGGTTGAATTTCTCATTATTTATCTGTAATTCTGTGCAAATCAGACCAGGCTTATCCCAAGAAATAGTTTATAGGTCATAAGCAGATATGGGAAAAAGAAAGATAATGAGAAAATTTTTGTGAATTTTTTTAAGTGTATAGCAAATCTATTATTTGAAATGAACTTAAACATTTATTTTTGATTTGTCATTGTCTTAATTTTCTATTTTTTTCATTTTTTAAAATTTTGTTATATATGACAGCAGAATGCATTACAATTCATATTACACATATAGAGCACAATTTTTCATGTCTCTGGTTATACACAAAGTAGAGTCACACCATTCGTGTCTTCATACATGTACTTAGGGTAATGATGTCCTTCTCATTTCACTGTCTTTCCTACCCCCATGCCCCCTCCCTTTACCTCCCTCCACTTTTCCCCATGTAGAG